ACTCTTTAAAATGGAAAAAGACTGTGTTACTGCTGCTGAATAACCTTTGCAAATTGATATGAACTGTAGCACAGTGAGTTCCTCTGGCATTAAATCCAGATTATGAAGAATGCCTCAGCAAAGCTAATGCAGTCAGAGGTCAGCGGTGATGAAAAGGTCAGAGAGCTGTCACAGGTGATGCAGGGGCTAAGGCACCGTCTGGATTTGACACAGATTATAGGAGCCTATTAGGGATTCACAACACTGTTGTTTCAGTGGCGCTCGCTGTTCACGGTGAGATGACCGCCTCGTCTCCGTGCCCTGTTTCCTCTCCATCTTCTAATTACTAACCCTCTGACTAAACCGAAGGACCAAATATTATTGAATCTTTTCACCCTTGAAGTGGACGACACCACCGGCACTTATGTCTTTGACGTAATTGATTCGTGCCAAGCCGAGACTTGATTCCCAATCTTTTTTGAGCCACGGCCACATATATATCATCAGGAAAAACACCACAGCACACCACCAAGCAAAGATCTCACAAAAAATACATGTAATAAAATATAATAATCTTCTAGTTTAAATGACCTCATAATTGACTAAAATCTCGGCCTGTTTAGTTGAAGACAACGCTGATATACTGGCAGGAATTGAAGAAAGACACTCACAAAGATCTTCTAAAAGGTAGAGGTAGTTTTCATAGCTATCTGCTGCCACCTAGCAGAAGAGAATTTAATTGTTTATCCTTTCCTGCTTTGATGAGATTTAATTGTTTTGCCTTTCCTGCTTTGATGAGCAATGACAAATTATATGCAATAAATAAACACTAGTTTTCAGCCCTATTAAGTGAAATTGGATCACATTTTCCACAGCAAGCCTAAAGATCTCTCACGGCACACTAGTGGGCCACGGCTCAGGGGTTGGGAATCACTAGGTCAAGAATATGTGTAAAAATTAAAGCTGTCTTTAAAGCCACATTATAAAGAAAAAGAATAAATAAAGTGGACTGGATCCCTCAGCATCAATCCAGCCACGCCCCCCACCCCCAAACCCCCCCCACTGTGCTTTGAACAATCCCGTCCTGGTGTTTGTGCACACGCAGCAGATTTGCCCATGCCCTGGCCCTTTTTTTTCACGTTGACTCATTTTAGCTCGTTTTAGCTTCCCACTGATGATAAGTCGTTAAAGGGCGCCCGGGTTACCACAACCAGAGAGTGGGGGTTAACCACTTTTAAACACACACAAATCTGTCATTAATCTTACTGGGCTGGTTGTTATACCAACACACAGCGAGGGGAGAATGACTGATCAATATCCTCTGTGGTCAACAGTTTAGCTTTGACCTTACACTTCTGATTGGCCCTTGGACATCAGCCCTCAAAATGCTTCTGGCCAACAGAGAAAAAGAGAGAGAGAAAAAAAAATGGCAAACTGCCACCAGCAGATTTAACCATAGAATTTACCGAGCTCTGATCAGCAGTGGAATGTTCAGGGTGATGTGTTCATTTAAAAATGACCTGCAGTGAATTTCTCATTTGAACAGGGTGATAATTAACTGACAGGAATATTATATATATATATAAAAAAATAAATACCAGTTATAATGGTGCAGATGGTGCAGAGAGACACAGATGGCACACAGTATATGTGCATTAGTAATGCATGTGACTATAGGAGAACATTAGGTCTTGGAATTTAAAAAAAAATCTTTAAGTCTTCATCTGTGGCAGAAATAAAGGAAAAGAGGTTTCATGATTATATTTCTTTTTCATTATTATCGAAAACTTAAAGATCGATAAATAGATAGATCGATAAGTAAAGTAAACACTAAACACTAAAACAGAGCCCACGGTAGTTCCTAAAGGCATGTGTGCTCTGGAGTACATTAGGATAATTTATTTTTTGATGTACGTTTTTTTTAAGGCACTAGGTGGCATCAAATTACTGCGGTTTGAATCGGACCCCATTGTTTCCGTCAACGTCCTGTTCACGATTAATGACAGCGGTTAATTAATGTTAATTCAGACTTGTCAGTGATGTATGACTATGATGGATGTCAGACAGGTGTCTCATACACACACACACACATTTCGTGATTTGTGGACATAACACGCCTCCGTGCCCTTTACCCTAGTATTATTTATTTCAAACGCAGCCCATATCTAATCTTAATCCTCTAATCTGACTCTAATTCCTAAACACCAAACTGAATGTTTAACCTCAAAATAAATCACATCTTAAAAAAAAAAAAAAAGTCCCCACAAAGACGAAAAATTGCATTTCTCGAGAAAGATGTCCACACTAGTATAGCTACATAATCACATCTTACGCACGCGCACACACGCACACACTTATTTGTCTCTCTGTTTGTAACGAACTGTCATATCACATACATTCACCACACACTTAAACAATAAAAATTAAGAGAAGAATAAGAATAGGATTTTTTGTGGTGGTCGGGAAGTTTTGTACCATAAACACAAATAAAATAAATAATATAAACATAAATAACATTAGAAAAATAATAATCGTTACGGGAACTCTACCCGTAATTTAAGTCTATTTTTTTGCTTGTTTGTTTGTTTAAGTTTAAACCCACATTTCCGTTTAGCTCTAGTGACGATCGGCCGACTATTCTCAGAGTCAAAATGTCTACTCGGTGATGTGTTTTTGACGAAAACCGTCCACACTTCTGCAGATATAAAAGAGCTACAATCACACACACACAAACACACATGAACCCGCCCCGAACAGACGTCACTATATTTCAGCCGTGACGTATTGACGCACCACTCTTTTCATCCGTCCTGGAGTAAATCATCATCCAAATCTCCATCCATCAGCAACCCCCTCCTCTCTCTCTCTCTCTCTCTCTCTCCCCCCCCCACACACACACACACACCCCTCCTCCTCCTCCCCTCTCTCTCTCTCTCTCTCTCCTTTCTTTTTAATGGAACTTGTGAGTGATCGGGTGTACAGGCAGCCTGTGGAAAGCCTGGTCCATCACTGACTGAAGAGTCCGCCGTCGTGGTGATTTCTTATTAAAGCTAAACAGCTCGGACAGAGAGGATCGCGTTTCCTGCTCTTTTCTGGATAAGGAATCTTCCTCGGGAATTTGGCTCAGTCTCGCGACTGTTATTGATGTTTTCCACGGTGGATGTCCGTCTGAGACTTTCTTTTTCCCCCTTTTTGGATCTGCTGCGCACTGACGCTATTTCTGCCGACTTCCCCGGTGTGAAACATCATCCTAATTGTCGAGACGATCTCTGATTCAGACTCTCGTCCGTCGGTGCCGAGGATTCTTTGAGTTTGTGTCTCTATAATCCCGTGCGTAAATAACCGAGAAAAACGAAGACCAAGAGAGAAAGAGAGAGAGAAAAAAATAAAAAAAAACTACAAAGTTGGGTAGTCAAAGTTTTGGTGACGCGCGATAATGGCTATGGTGGCGTGGAGAAGCCCAGAGGGCGTCGGGGACACCCAGGGGACGCTGTCGTCACCGGTGTCCCAGGTCGCACCTCTGTCGCTGCCCGCGGAGCTGTCGGGACACATGAACCCGGTGGTGTTGGCGGCGCCGCAGGGCGCACCGCCGCCGAACCCGTCCAGCTCCAGCACCGCCAACAGCGGGACGGCGACCGCCAACAACAACAATAACACCACCTCCTCGTCCTCCTCCTCCACGTCCTCCTCGTCCATGGACAAGCAGCAGAGCCAGCACATCGAGTGTATCGTGTGCGGGGACAAATCCAGCGGGAAGCACTACGGACAGTTCACCTGCGAAGGATGTAAGAGCTTCTTCAAACGCAGCGTCAGGAGGAACCTGACCTACACCTGCAGGGCCAACAGGAACTGCCCCGTGGACCAGCACCACCGCAACCAGTGCCAGTACTGCCGCCTCAAGAAATGCCTCAAAGTCGGCATGAGGAGGGAAGGTGGGTGCTCCCCGTGATGTTAGCTCACACACGCAGCGACGGGTACATGCGCGGTACCCGGACCGGTGTAGTAATTTAACAAGTGTCAACATCGAGTGGACATTTAAACTTCACTTGTCTCTGTCTCTCTGTGTGTGTGTAATAGTGTTATAGCCTTTAGCATTACAGTCACTGCGTGGGCATAACGAGGCTGTGGACACAGTCAAGTGTGGCTGTCTTTGTCTTGCGCATACATTTTCTTTTCCTCTTAACATTAATATGATAAAAAAAAAAGTATTATTATTTTTTCTGTTAGTCTCGTTCGCCGCGGTTCTACACTGCGGTCTGAACCGGCGGACATTTCTCCACAGCCTAGTGCAGCATCTTCACTTATACTGTGGTTGTCGTCGCGGTGGTTGCGTGGCTACTCGGCCATTGTGTAGCTGGAACCGCTTTAAGCTGCTTAAAATGTCGCCTGTTCGAATACAGGAGCGGTTATAGCTCCATCCGATGTAATATCGATTCACAAATCGTTAACTTAAATCGATATTAAAAAAAAAAAAAGAATAAATCCGCCTCTGTGTGTGTGTGTGTGATGGTGTGTGTGTGTGTCTCTGTGTGCATATTTATTGTGCATGTTTTATAGAGCGTACAGGCCCAGCCTACTGTAGTCTGCTGATAACCACAATCTTCAAAATACAGTACGATATACTGTTAATCCGTGCGAAAAAAATAAGATGAGAAACCCTTGAAAAATTAATATAATCTACAATTAGAAATTCATGAACACAAAAACGCTTATAATGTCCCATTGTAACAGTACGTATTACACACACACACACACACATACAGCATAGATTGACAGATAATATAAATATTGTTAATTCCATGTGAGTAAACTCATACAACATACAAATCAAAACCGGATAAACAGTTAACTTAATAACTCGCACAATAATATTCGAGAAAAATAATTGTTTAGACGTTAACTCTAAATTACAAAAAATCTAAAAGATAATCGATTAAATAAAGCAACCGCTGACGCGTCATAATGTGAGCGGGTCGTGACCTACAAATACATTTCTGAACTGAATGTGCCTTTTTTTAAAAGGTGCAGTTCACAACTTTCTGGTGTCCGCAGGGTCAGAGTGCAGAACCCAGGAGTGCACGCGTGCGCGCGTGTGTGTGTATTGACGAGTGCGCGCGCGCGTATACGTAGGAGCATATTTCTTCATGTCATGAATATCATAAATAATACATTATTGGCCTAATTGTTTTATTTGCTGCCGTTTTACCCAGTGTATTTGTACTAACGCGGTGGCGCCTTGTGGTACCTGCTGATACTTCAGCTTTTGTCGTAAATATTTAGTATTTGTAAAAGTACCGTAGTGAAATTTTTTTTTTTTTTTTTGGACGACACGTTCAAAATGACGTTTATTAGTAGTAGTATTATAGTAGTAGTATTAGTAGTGTTACTCTATCAGTAGTAATTAGTATTACTGTCGGTGCATTCGTACGTTAGTCGAACACAGGTATGGGCCTTTGTTGGCCAACGGATAAATTAGGCAAACGTAGAATTGTCCAAAGTCGGTGACTAAATGTTATGGTTTAAAGGTCAGGCAGGTCAGAGTTGGACAGTATAACATCAACCAACCATAACCTAGTTGTATTCTGACTCAACAAGACACTCATGTCCGCTTTGTTATCAACTCTTTTTAATCTGGTGTTTTATAGTCGTTTTAATTTAATTATACTACACCATTTTTTATATGTTTTATATGTGTTTTACCAACAGTGAGTTTTGCCTGAATATGGGACAGTACATAATAAATAAATTAATAAATGAATGAATGAATAAAAGCAGCGCAGCCTGACGGGATTTTTAACAAAGAAAGACGTTCTCTTGTTTAAAGTTATTTAAGATTGTTGTGTTGTTTGTACCTGAACAGGTGGCCGCACCAGGACTGTAGAGTAGTGGTGGTGGTGGTGGGCTGAATAACTTAGTTAATAATAACCTAGTTATTTAGATTAAGTTATAAGAACTTAGAAGGATTTGTTACTGTATAGGAAAATTAATAAAAAATATTTGTTAGTATTTGTAACAATCAGTGTACGTCCGTTATGGACTACAGCCTTATTTCAAATTATTATTATTATTATTATTATTATTATAATTATTATTATTATTATTTCAGCAGTGGGGAGGAATACGTTTAATTTGATTTTTTTTTTTAATTTTATTATTATTGTTTTTTACTGATCGACTGTTCCCGTGTGTGTTTGTGTGTGTGTTTGTGTGTGCAGCCGTCCAGAGAGGCCGGGTCCCCCCTCAGTCCTACCACGGTCAATTCGCCCTGACTAATGGCGACCCCCTCCAGTGTCACTCTTACCTGTCCGGCTACATCTCTCTGCTGCTGCGGGCTGAGCCCTACCCGACCTCCAGGTTCGGCTCTCAGTGTCTCCAGAACAACAACATCATGGGCATAGAGAACATCTGCGAGCTGGCGGCCCGCATGCTCTTCAGCGCCGTGGAGTGGGCCCGCAACATTCCCTTTTTCCCGGACCTGCAGGTGCCGGACCAGGTGGCGCTGCTGCGCCTCACCTGGAGCGAACTGTTCGTCCTGAACGCCGCCCAGTGCTCCATGCCGGTCCACGTAGCCCCGCTGCTGGCTGCCGCCGGCCTTCACGCCTCTCCGATGTCCGCCGACAGGGTGGTGGCCTTCATGGACAACATCCGGGTTTTCCAGGAACAGGTGGAGAAGCTGAAGGTGCTGCACGTGGATTCAGCCGAGTACAGCTGCATCAAGGCCATCGTCCTCTTCACCACAGGTAGGAAGGAACATAAAAGAAATAAAAATAAAATATAGTATTTTATTTTTCAGAACAACAAGGAACATAAAAGAAATAAAAATAAAATACTATATCAGAACAACAGACTAAATTTAAACATTTATTTTTTTAACGCAGTTAACTTTATGAAAGAAAATAAAATTGAAACACGAGTCCTGATAGAGTCGCTGTTTGTTTGTTTGTTTGTTTACGTTTGAACTGAAATGTGGCTCGTAAAAAAAAACAGTGTACTACTAAAAATATATTTATATATAAATTGACCATTTCCGACCCATAACAAAACAATGGGGTTTATAGGCATGAAATGAGAGCGATTGTCCAAATGATCCGTACACTAAAAACATACAAGACATACACGATGAAAACGAATTATTCTCGTAAACTACAATAAAAATTTTAAGACTCAATCATATATTTTATGAAACATTGACGTTTTAAAAAAATATTATTTAAAATTTTAAATGACTGCAGGTAAAAATGTCGTTTCCCCTGAGAGGAAAAAGAAAAATTTGCCTAAGGCAAAAAAAAAACAAAAAAAAAAAAAAAAAACATCGTAAAATTAGCTAGATAGAGTAAATATGAGATAAAACGCGTACTTTTCTCTTCTATTCATAAATTACTTGTCGTTTCTAAAGTAATTAATAGGAGAGGAGAAGACGAAAGAAAAACCAGCGAGTAGGAATGAGAAATGATATGAAACAGACACATGAGATCATAAAAGTGTCAGTTTCAGTATCAAGAAACGTATTTAAGACTGGTGAAAATATAGGCATGTTCATTTATAATTATAACCTGATAAAATGTATTAGGCATGTTCATTTATAATTATAACCTGAACAAATGTATTATCTTTTTTCCCCCCCAAATAACATAATAATAATCTGCACAGACACCCAGGTCTCATTAAGGTTCAATTTGAATTTCAATTTCAAATTTGAATTTCTCAGCTGCTGTTCCTCTTTGTTGAAGAATACTTTTATAAAACAAATTTGAAAAAAAAAGCAACAAAAAATTCCTGGTCTTTAGAATTGACGTCGACCAAATTCACAATTTGAAATAACCAAAACAGCAGTATTGTGCTCATTCTGTACAGCCTCAGATGCTTATTACAAACACACACACAGAGCCAGTATTTAATTATTTCTACGTTGAAAGTGTTAAATCCCATCACTGACAGAGCAGCACCGAGTGCACGAGTTCACAGCCTCTTCAATTAGTGAGAGTGTTTGATGGCTGGATGCAGAGATAGAGAGTAAGCAGCAGAGTAAAACATGAAGCATGTCATCTCTGTAGGTCTATTTCGGTCCCTGTGAGCATCATAAACACGTGTCCTCAAAAGTAGGACGCAGTGACCGTTCTTTAACCCCTGCTGACGTCCTGCCTGCCTGTGGCCTTACAGTATAATCACTGACTAAAAGGCTGCGGCAGTTGAGCTACAAATATGTGTAAGGCATAAAGATGCTAAGTGTCTGGGTTGGAGTTGAGGTCATATATTGGTATAATTTTATTTTTTTCTCTTAGGTTTTTCAATTGATAGCAAACACCTAAGTGCAGTGACAGAATGAGTGAATGTGTGCCATTTCATTTGTGAAACCTATTTTCTTTCCTGGTTGGTGTTTTAATTTTAAAATAATTAAACAGTTTGAAGCCCTACCTTACATTTGTATACTTTGTATTTATCATTGTAATGAAAGAATACAGGCAAACTTTATAGGCATATAGGCAAACTTTTTTACTCCTAACATCAACTTTTGGGAGGTTTTGTTTTATCTTCTTCCAATGGAATTGTGATTTTTCTGCAGCAAAGTGCAACTGCATTTGAATTTACACATTTACATTTTCAAGTCCACAGTCACTGTTTGACTATTTAACATAATGGGGAAATACTATATGAGCTGCTATCAGTCTGATACACTGGTGTAAACTCCAGGTGCTACAGTAGGTCGGTTTGAAGGTCAACTTAGTTTAGTTAGTTTAGTTAATCAAACCTAGACGAATGAAGTGCATCTTAAATATTTAAAACTGACTCACTCCTGACTCCCAATAAGAGACGATCACTTCTCCTCCTCCCTGTCTGCAGATGCTTGTGGTCTCTCGGATTTGGTGCACATAGAGGGGCTGCAGGAGAAATCCCAGTGTGCACTAGAGGAGTACGTGAGGAGCCAGTACCCCAACCAGCCCACCAGATTTGGGAAGCTGCTGCTGCGTTTGCCTTCCCTGCGCACCGTCTCCTCCTCTGTGATCGAGCAGCTCTTCTTTGTCCGCCTGGTGGGGAAGACACCCATAGAAACGCTGATTAGGGACATGCTGCTGTCCGGCAGCAGCTTCAACTGGCCTTACATGTCCATTCAGTAGAGGAGGAAGCTGCGACCACGCTGCTGCTGCAGCTGCCGCCGCCGCCAAGATCACGAAAGACCTCAGACTCTGAACCAACCATTTCAGACACTGCAGCTTAACCAGTTCAATCCATTAAGTTCATTTGAGAAAAAAAAAAAACATGCATTTAAAATGTAAACAAGGGAGAAAAAACACTGCCAGTGAAATGGGATTTTTCTTAGTTTGGACATTTTCTTGACACCTGGGGACTGATCTGCGTCATGAACCATTTTTTGGCAGCGAGGAATGAAATGAATTGACTTATGATCCTCATATAGTGGACTGTTTTTCTACAGTGCCAACATACAGTCTATGTTTTTTTTTTTTGGGTAAAACAAAATATTTATTGGACCCTGTGTGTGTTTGTTTATCGTGCTTGTAAATTATGTTTTTTGATGTTTTATGTAATTGTGTCCCTGTGGGTTAGAACGCTGCAGGGACTGACTGAAGCTGTGTACATTTTGTTGGGTTTTTTTTCTCTCACGTTGTTGGATTTTTATACCTTCCAGACATAACAGAGCACTTTGGACTAAAGGAACGTTGCAGAAAAGAAATAACACCAGTGTTAAAAAAAAACAACAACACCACACCCTGATTCCCCTGATTTTTCTAAAATATTTTGTCCGTTGTTTGATTTGCTTGAAATCTCCTGGATCAGTGTTTGGCTGCAATCATGTCATCGACTGCAATATTGTAGAAGTGATTGTTTTTGTGGCCGAAAAAACACTGACATTTGTCTTGAATTCTTGAAATTTCAAAATTAAAAAAAAGGTCACTTAAAAACCCTATCATTTTCCCGTCTCTGAGACTGGGATTTTTTTTTTTTTTTTTTTTTTTGCCAATGGCTTCCTGCTGTCTCACACCGCCATTTCTGAAGACTGGTCTGACTGCCGACTGGCGAGGATGTCACAGAAACACAGAGGAGGAGAAGCCAGTCTGCTGAATACGGTTTAGTGAGACGAGCACAAAAAAAAAAAACAAAAAAAAAACAAAGAATCTATCGGTCGGGTCCTTGTAAAAGCCATGAACCAGAGATTGGACCAAGTCTACAGGACAACAACAAATCAGCAAAATGTCTTATCAGGAACTAAGACGCCTACAAAATGTCCAAAATGTCCAAAATAGACAAAAACACACACAGTAACAGGTTCCACTGAACAACGATGACATCAGAGCACACCTCTGGTCCATTGATGTTTCCACTCCTTCTACACTGACTCTAATGACTCCAGGGTCAGAATGACATGAATGAACTTCCATGTTGACAGATTTTTTTTTTTTTGTGATCATGAGCCCAGTCTACCTAATGGCACAACAGACCACTGCAGGGTATTGCTAAATTTAATGTGTGTGTGTGTTACAGAGAGTGTGGGCGTATGTGTGTGCGTGTGTGTGTGTGTGTGGGAGCATGTGTCCCTGTATGTACGAGTGTGTATTTGGTGTTTACTTCTTTTTGACAACCACTCTGATGTACTGTGAAAACATATTGGTACCATATTAAATTATAATCCAAGATTTATAAAATAAAGTGTATTTGGTTTACTTTGCCCTTTTACCTCTGTGTTGTCTGTGACTGTATACAAAGAAAGAAAGAAAGAGAAGAGAAGAAAAAAAACTGCTTCAAAATAAAAGCATGAAATGATGGGTTTCCTCCGTTAAAGTCACTTTTACTACTACGTCAGCGATTTGACGTTTCTGTTTCTGTGTTTCACGACTGGGAGCAGTGGTTAAATGGTCTCCGGACAGGAGAGCAGGAGGAAAATGGAATTGTTATCATGTCTGTGTTGCCAGATTGAGGGACAGAAGGGATTAAAGCAGCGTCTTTGCTTGTTAGTGGACAGGGAGCTAATGAGGGGCCCCTCAGTGCTCTGTCACTACAGTTTACCCTGAGGAGGAGGTGCAGGAGGAGGAGGAGGAGGAGGAGGAGGAGGAGGAGGACGGCGCTGCCGCTCCACGGCCCCTGTGTCTCCTAAGTGGAAGGGCCCAAACACAATAATGCAGCGCTTTCCCACACACATACATGGGCGACTACGTGTGTGTCTCTGTATGTGTGTGTGTATGTACACAGCATGACGTGGAGTCAGCCTGCTCGTGTTGAGGAATGAGCATAAAGGGAATAATGTCAGGGAAATTAATAAATTCATAACGTAAAATAAACCGGGCAAAAATATTTTTAGAAAAAAATCGACAAAAATCCCAAACAAATATATATATATATAAAAAGAAGATCACAATAAATAGACAAGTAAGATAATATTTAAAAAATAATTTACAACATTAAGAAATGTAATTAATGTGAGAGATTCTAAGGTTTATATGTATTTATATTAACACCGTGTGTGTGTGCGCGCGCACGTTTGTTTCAGGGGTGTCGCTCGTCGACTGTATCATAACAATAACAACTGCGCGTTTTACTTTTCTTGTAGATGTTGATAATTATATAAATAATTAATCATATTAATAGATGTGTCGAGTTAAACAAGAAGAAAAAGAAAAAAAAAACCCAGAATTGACATCTGTATTAAACAACAATATTAGGGTATTTAGGTCCAAGTTGCATAAAATTACCGTAATACTACCCGGTGCCAACTCCCCCCCCCCCCCCTCCCCCCCCCCCCCGTCCGTTTCCACAGTGCAGTGGAGAAAACGGAACTTAGATGAACTGGACCTGAGCTGCCGTTGTTTTCGTTTGAATTTAGTAACATTTGGTTTATTTATTTATTTATTTATTATAAACGTATTTATTTATTTATTTATTGTCAGTACTGTCTCCGTGTTGCTTAATGAGAAATGTTGAGTCGATGCTACAGCTAAATTATTCACGCTCACTTTGCCACGTTTACTTTAAATCAACTATTGTCTTAACATACTTGTATTTATTGGCATTTTTTTATATAGCTTAACGTTTTATAGAAAGTAGAAACTCTGAATCTTTCTGGTTTACAACCTTGTCAACAACAACAACAACAACTGAGTTTCACTGGCAAATTAAAATTTTTATATCTTTTTTTCCGCCATTTCGGTTTTGATTTTTTCATTTCTCTTTCGATTTTTTCGGGGGTTTTTTTCTTTGTCTTTTTTAAAATTATTTTCTTTCGTTGTTCCTTTCTTTTTCCTTCCATTTTTTTTCACCTAAATCAGATTAACTCACAAAAGACATTAATTTTATCTCATTACAAAATTGTTAACGAGCACACATTTAGTCATAATTTATAAATTATTAATTAACAAAGTCGAGAACATTTAAAGTGTAACATTAAGCAACACTCCACATTATTATTGTTATTCTCAATATTATTATTACAGAGTAGATTTAGATTTGAGATTGTTGAATAGAAAAAATAATTTTAATGTCTTTTTTTTAATTATTTCAGGCCTCGTTTTTATTCGTGTGTGGCCTCAGTGTGAGCCGGGGTCAGTTAGGCCACACGGAAATACAAACTCTCTTCTTGCATCTTTTTTTTTTCTCTCAATAATTTTTTTTGTACCAAAAACATCTCTCGTGTAGCAACTCATTTCTAATTATCCAAATCCAATATTTATTACTTTACCTGTTTTTATTATTTTTTTTTAAAATGAATCATTTTATTCAGACACAATCTTTCGTTCTGCTTAGAAACGAAATTAAAAAAATGCCCGTGAATATTCTGAACATGTTTGTTTGTTTTTGTGTGCGTGTGTTTTTTAAACAACTATTTTTTTAAAAAAAAAAAACGTTTTATAAGTCATTAAAAGTTAACGGGTGTCCCCAGTGTCAGTGTTTGACGAAATGAAGCTCCATCTGTTGTTCCACATTTCATTTCATTTTCTCTGCGAGAAACGTGCGCCGAGCAGAACTCAGTGTTTACACGGTGAACCCACCAAAACCACATTATAAATAAAAAAATAATAATTAAATTAAAAACTAACTTTTTTTTCCACAGGTGATCAGTGGCTGCAGACGACACGTGACTTCTGTGTGTGGAGTCACACTTTGGCCCCTTCTTCTCTCCGTCATCTGTGGTTTCTCTCCAGTCCGTCACAGTCACTTCGACTGTACATTGTTACTGTAAACACACACACACACACAAACACACACATTTATACACATACACACGGGTTTAGTGTTGTCATTGGCTGGACTTAGTATTTTTCGATTGCTATTACACTGAACAATAATAACAATAATCAACACTCAAATATATCTATTTAAATATATATATTTATAAATATATAAATATTCAATTATATATATATATATTCGTTTTTTTTCTATTACATTAATTCTAACTAAAAACCCTTGAAACTCAAGGTCATCCAAGATCCTCTAAGTCAATATGGAGCCCAATATTAGAATGTAGTGGTTTGTTCTCTACAAGTGTCTGGTGAGTATTCAAAAGTATCCAATGACATTTATTTTAATTTTTTTCTCCCCCCAAACAAAGACCAGTCACTGAAGATAAAATTGATATTTTAGACGTTCATCTCTACCAGTTTACTTTATGTCATTCATCATATTGTTAGTCCAAACAATGACCTCAGTCACTGCAGTTCATTTGTCTCTGACACTAAAGAAGACTAAATGAACTAAAAACCAATTTACTTCCACTGCAGTGTTCTTTGAGTTCCACTTCCTTCTGCGTTCACAGACAACACTTCTGTGACCAAATAGTTCTAATGGAGTCTCATCTCAATGCATCATCTTCTCCACGTTGTCCAGGCGACAGTCTGACTGATGGTGTCTGTTCAACAGAAATGACCGTCTTTCCTGACACTTTCATTTTATTGCCGTTCCCAGTCCGTCCATCAGTGTCTGTTGTCTGTCTCTGCTAACTTTGTCTTTGAACCTCTCAAAAATAATCAGATCAATTTTGTTTATTGTTCTCCATCTTTGTCAGAATCATTAAAAAAACAACAACAATTATTTCCCTCCAGTCTAATCTGAGTTCCCTCAGCTTCAAGATGAAGTTCTTTTATGATGAGTGAGTTTGAAAAAAAATTAACGTCCATTTTAAAGTTGAATTGACAGATTGAGAGCCCCCGCCCCCCGTGTTCAGTCACATCGGCTGCTTGTGTAATGTCTTCATTAAAGGTCGGCTCTAATGAAAGGTTAATGGTGTTGACCCTTGTTTTTTTAAGCATTTAGTTGAATAGTTATGTTTTTGTATGCAATAAAAAGACAAACTAATTATAAATGTATTTTTATATTTATATATTCTTTAGTGATGTGTTAAAATTGAAAGGAAAATATTAAAACCATAAAACATAAAACAACATAAAACCATAACAATCTTAATACCTGGAACTGCAGCCTCAGAGATGAACTTCTGCTCCATTAGGATTAGGATTTTTTTTGGTTCTGCGAAAGGTCGGGAATTCTTGTTGGGAGTCATTGCCTAAAAAAACAAACAAACAAAAAAAAAAAACAGCTTGTTATAACTATAATGTTTTGTCACCTTTTCTGCTCACTTTAAATTCTGTCAAGTCCCTTAAAGAGCAGATTGTTGTTAGACAGTTTTTTTTTTTTGTCAGGTGAAGGTTGTGTTACTGTTTTTATATTCAGTATCCTGTATTTTCTTTTTCTTTTCAGATTTTACTATGAGGTACTTTGAGAATTCTCTCTGTGAAAAGTTCTGTAAAAGTAAACTTCCTTACGTGAATACTTCATACTTCATACTTTTTCTGACCAAACAAAGATTTGGAAAAAGATGATGATGAACACGAGCACAGACTGGTGTGGACCAAGAAGATGTCGGTTCAGTTTAAGGGACATTTTGGAGGAAGGGGGGGGCAAAACAGTGTTTTGTTTTGTTTTTTTTTTCCTCTTATTTCCAGCTTTCCATCCTGAAATTGCCCTTCTTCTCCTGTTTCATGTTGCCCACTGACAGCACACGGCTCTGACTGTGTCGTCCCGTTGTCTTCAGCCTGACAGTGTGAATCAAGAGGTGCCTCTGGCTCCTTCACTCACCTCTGACCCCGGGCCGCCCTCTCCCTGACACTGGCTCAAGTGAAGTGGTCAGAGTGGTGACGTGAGTCGTCCAGGAACGACGAGGAACGACCGTTTGACTATTTTACCCAAACCTCCAAACAAATCATTAAATATCCTACAAAGACATATTACTTTCAAATAGCCACTGGCCTGACACTTTTTTTTCCTTCACTTTAAATTGGTTCTCTTCTGTCAGGATTTTTTTTTTCCTCTCATATTTAAACGCTGCAAATTTGCTGTGAGACGGGCTCGGCTCCAGTGATTGTGCCACGCCTCAGTGAGCCCATCTGACGCCCATGGAAACAAAATCTTAAAAGCAGTGAATATGGGAAGGAGCCTGTCTGCTGCAACAGCCCCCCCACCACACACACACACACACACACTCACTACCCACCCCGCCACTGCCTGAAAAATATTTCAGTGATGGGGGTCGTGGTGGTGGTGGTGGTGGTGGGGAATTGCACCAATCAACTCGTGGACTGTACAAAGAGCGGTCTGCCGTTGCTAAGAGACAGATGCAGAGTAACCTCCATGAGAAACCTGACCATGACCCTTCCTTCTCCTCCTTCTCTTCCTCCTCCTCCTCCTCCTCCTCCTCCTTCTTCTCCCACCAAACACTCTCCCTCTCCTTAGCCAATTATTACTGAACATTTAACAGCAGCTCAGTCACATTCACAATAAAATCACTTGCGTTTGTGTAGCTGTGACACATTTATAAAGGACAGAACGTTTTAGAATATTTCAAAAATAAAAAATTAAAACAAGATAGTGTTGTTTTTTTTTGGGGGGGTGGATTTGAGGGAAGAATATATATATATATATATATGGCAGAGTATAGTGGGTTGATGTATGGGCGGAGCTTGGGTGTATGTTGGCGAGTGGGGGTTCGTGGACAGAGTAAATGTGTCAGGATAGTGAGAAGATGAAGATGTGACAGAGAGAGGTGGAAGGGAGCTGGCTCTGTGTGAGCCCCGTCGATTAGTGCGTCTGTGGCTGACAGGTGGAATCCCAGGGGAGCGTCTGTCACTGCAGTCTGCTGCCAGGCCTGACCACAGCCACGGCAGCAGCAGCAGCAGCAGCAGCAGCAGCAGCATCGAGACACCCAACCAGGGGCGGGGATAAGCAATAGACTCTCCGGCACCTCATTGGCCTGGTCTCCCAGCCTGGCCTCCCAGTCAGAGCCCAGATTAAAGCTTTACTGGGAAACAGAAAGCAGGTTGAAAGTCATGTTAATCCTCAGGCACTAATACATTACTATTAGTGATCTTAGTCTCCTGCACGATCTACACAAGGTTTCTGGAACGGAGTTTAATCTCCTTTATGTTTGGTGCACAAGCTCAGTTTTGAGTGCACGTAAAAAAAAAAAAAGAAAAAAAAATGCATTTCCTGTTTGTTTTTCAATAAACCTGTTGCAACATTGTGAAAAACACAGGGTTGTAACGACACCTACTGTTTCTAGATTAGAAGCCACTGCAGCTGAACCCCTCCCACCAGTTGAGCCATAGATTTATTTATTTTAAATCCAAAGACTAGTGGTTGGAAAATAAAGCTTAAGAACGGGAAAAAGTGTCCGACGGTAACACGAGATTCAAGATTCAAGAGTCACATGATGAGTTAGAAATGTATAGCTAGACTGATATGTAACATTCAGTCTAGAGTCAAGAATATAAATAATAATAAAAAAAAAAATTAAAAAATCTTTAAATGGGTTGGAATGTAAAATTCCTAGTCAAATATTGCTTTCATGTAAGAGCTGGGTAATAAGTAATAAAAATCAGGCCCTTTAAATGGGTTGGAATGTAAAATTGCCAGTCAAATAGAAATTGCAGAAAGATGTAAAAATGTGTATATATGGGTATTCTTGATAAATGTTTTGAATTTATATAAAACATTCAGTGACATAAATGGAAAAAAGTCAAAATGAATTTATATCAAATGTGATATATCAAATGCAGAAAAACTACAAATGGTGAGACCTGGTTTCAATAACGCAGTGTTTGGTCCAAACTAAAGTTGTAGGTCACATTTAATAAAAAAAGGTTCTTTCTTTAATATCTTCTCTGCGTGGCTTTATTAGAAAAAAGATAAGAAACTCACGCTCTTAATAAACCTACTTTTAATTTTTGTTGAGCCCTTGCAGTTAAATAGGTTCATCACTGATGATGCATTAGGGGATTTTTAAATCAAAGGTTATACTGCACAGCCGCTCCGCTCACAGAACAGCCAATCGGAGCATCTCCCTTATTAAGAACTGACCCGTGATTGGTCAGCGTCTGGTGTCAGAGGTCAACTTTTCTCAAGGCTGTAAAGTGACAAGAAGTTAATTATTTTCTATGATCACTGCGTTAAAATTATTCTAATGTGCTCAGAAATTATTTATCAGCAACACCAAAAAACACGTGACCTCCGCCGACCTCAGGCTGCGCCGACAATTAACCGTGGGCCGGCTTAGGTCTGATTTGAGCTGATAAAATATACATGAGTGGTATTTGTCCTTTACGCTGATAAACCTTTCATCAAGTCCTTTACTGATAAAACTTTAATCATGCGCTGGGAATGTTCTGGAAGAGCAGGACCGAGGAAGGGCCTCGTCTCAGTGGGATTGTCGATGCTGTACAAAGAATGAAGTCTTTGGTTTGGAGCAGCACCGATAACAGCGTCGAAACCCTTGGAAGAATTTACTCCACAGTATATGAATATAACATGCTCTCTGTGTCGCTCGGTAAATAAATACTGAGAGTTTTGCTGCATATATATTTGCAGTACAACTCGAAGGAGTACGCACCAGTACTGCTTTGTGCAGTTTTGTTCACTGACCTCGTTTTGACCTCATATCCATCCAGTGTGATCTCATCACTTGCAGACAGCTTTAAATTCAGGTCACACGCGCTCACATTTAATCACCAAAAACACAGACTGGGCCGTGGTTCAAGAAAACCACTGGTCCTGTTGCTGAGCCTGGTCCGTCAGCTTGTACTTGGACTGAAATGAGACCCCTCCTCAGGGGTCACGACATTCCTTCTAGTAGACACATGGTAGACCAGCAGATCCCAGAATGACCACATCTGTAGAGCCTAAAAAAAATTTAAAAAAAAAAATTAATAATGGAGTAAGTTTGATCCATGTTCTATTTCTATAGAAATAGAATAAACCTTGTCTCGTCTCCTCGGGGTGACACCCACCCAGGACCTAACCTGGAATTGAACCTGCGTGTCAGGCAGGAACCCTCACCACTGTGCCACATTCTACCGGCATAAATATATAGAAACAGCAGTGTTTATGTATGTTTACTCAGTTGAATGTATGACTCGTTAAATTTTTTATATTCACATCCTCTTCAAGGAGAAGGTTCCATGTTGGATCGTGATGTTTCTACAGTCCAACGCTTCATCACTGCTGCTACCAAAGGTTCATCCTACTCATCTGCCCTGTCATTGGTCAGAGCCTCATGGTCACTTTATATGTATATACATATATATTTTATATACAGTATATAGATGAATATATATATATTCATCTATATATGAAAATATCATGATCCTGTTTGATGTCTGACCCACGGAGCCACTCACTACTGAATATATATGTACAGCCTTTCCAGGTCATATGAATATTTACTGAAAACCAATCCAAAAAAATACTTCTTCTGGTACTCTGTATCCGCAAGTACACAAATTAAAATACCCGTACTTGAGCCATTGTATATTCTTTTATAACTGTACCTGTTTGAACAGGAATATTTCACGTCTCAGTTACCACCTTGACTACCATAAGTATTCAGATAAACATCTCCCTGATCCTCAGAGTCTGATAAGGACGTTGTTGAACGCAGCGATCGTTCCATGTCTGTGTCCGTGCCGTGGCGACGCGGTACTACGACCCCGGTGTACATTTGTGGGCTGTGTTCTGTAGCCCGCAGCCCAGCTTTGTTCCCATAATCCCACAGAAAGACAGAGAGACTCCGACATCCGTCTCAACACTCATAAGTCATCTCTGATCATTCATGGGTCAAGGGCAATATTGTCCGTGTGCTGTGACCTCTGACCTCTTGATCTGCCGGCTATTGGTTAGTTGTAATCTGCCTAAGTAGAAAACACAATTCTTTAAGTTTAATCTGCCAAGCTTAAAGATTTGTTTAAAGAGAAAAAAAAAAAGAAAAAAAAAAACTTCCGCCAAGGAAGTAATTACCTGTGTTTGTTTATTTTTACGTCTTTGTTCCTTTTTTGGAAGTAATTACCTGTGTTTGTTTATTTCTACATCTTTGTTTCTGAGTAGCAGAACGTGCAATTTGTAAAATAAAATAAATATACATATATATATATATATATATATGTATGTATTGTATGAAATCATGGGGTTTTCAGTGATGATGTTGTTTTGCCCTGTGACCTTGTTTATATAAATGTGTATGAAAACACAGTGAAATGTGAAGCCTTATATAAAGTAAACAGAATGAATAATTCAGAAACAGAACGTTGTTAATACGTTCACAGGTCACAGACATTCACCTGAACCTGAACCGACCCACTCCATTGTCACCACAATATAAAGAACTCACACTCAAACAGACTCTGAGTCACATGACACACACACAGTACAGGAGTGTGTGTGTGTGTGTGTACTGTTACAGTGTAACTGTTTCACTAACGTCAGTGCAGAACCTCAGAGTGAACGTTTAAAACCTCAGATCATGGTTTAATCTGAGATGATGATTAAAAAAAAAATGTTTCAAAAATATCAACCCAAATCCATAATCTGTCATAATCCCTGACATGGACACTGGGATATTTTTGTTCGGATAACGAGCAGGGAAACACCTCGTGGTGATCCGTCATCAACGATCACTTCTTCACTTCAGTTCAAACGATCATTACGGCTGGTTTCACACAGATGGAGACAAGGAAGGAAAAAAAAAAGTCTTGACCTGACCTGGTCCTGGGATGAGGCTCACGATGACGGAAGAATCCAGCAGCACCGTGGCCCAGTGGTTAGAGAACGAGCTCATTCACAGGAGGGTCGCTGGTTCAAAGGCCAGCCCTGATGCTGTGCTGTGTTGAGCAACATCATACTGCACCTGGCATCAGAGGTTTTACAGTAGAGAGTCTGCAGGGAATTAAAATTGAAGTTTATTTCAAAATGGAAAAAATAGACAAATAAAATTTACAGAATAAATAATTATGTGTATATATATATATATATATGTGTGTCAGTTTGGGGCCTTTGACGACCTCTGCATTAGATGATAACATCTACACCCCCGCTCTGTAATACAGCCAGTGAAGCTCTGTGGAATAATCTAGAATTATATGAATACAAAAATTACAAATATCATATATATATAATTGTCAATGAATGTTAAAAGAGCATATTTTCAATCACCTATGTTACTATATATATATATATATATTTAATGGAGACTGTAGTTTAGTTACATAATAAAAATAAAGTTTAAGTAATGATTTCTATTTTCCATCATAGTTGAATGTATTCCGTCCTCCTTTAACGTGTGTAAAGTACTGACGTCTAAAGTGCGGCACCAACGCTGCCTTCAGCCGTGTTCAGATGAACTGCTCTCAGTCTGAGGTCCCTCCGGCTTCACAAGAGGTCATGATGGAAAATGTGATTCACAATGACGGACAGTGATGCTGCTTTAATCACGGCAAAAATGTAGGCATACCTATATCTGGAATAGCGCCCTCCTTGGCTGGGAGCTCGGCGTCTTTTATTCCACGGTTCTTGGGGTCAGAGCGCCACATACCTCGCTCTTTACAGCAGTCTCCTCCGAGTGACCTCTGTCTGCCAAAAACTGCAGCTCTGAAACAGCTAAAATGACACATCTGACCTCATGCTTTTAGGAAATGTGCTCGTGCACTGATTTAATTAAAAGGAATACTGTCAGTTATTGTAAAAAGCAATTCCTTCATAAGGAAAATGATTTTTTTTTCTCCTCCTCCTCCTCCTCCACTACACCGTACAGGAAATACTTTATAGCAACCAGTCAAGTCAATAAAACTAAAAAAAGATTTTTGTGAGGCCCTTCCGTCGCCTCTATATGGAAGTATATTTCACAGTAGGTGACAGTACTGTCATTTAAATCAAGAAAACGAGGGTTAAATTCTGTCTTTGTTAGAAATAAAAAATAAAAACATGGAAATAAAGATGACTCACCGGTGGTTTCACCTTTGACCCTATGGAAAATATAGATATAATTGGTTAGGTATTTGTATGTACATATATATGTTTACTGTATATACGTACACAAGTACATGTATATATAAATATATATATACACAAATACACACTTAAACACACATTTATACATACATATACTGTATATATGTATATGTATATATATAAGCATACATATATGTATATATAAACATATATATGTATATATGTAAATATATATACATATATTGATAGAAAAATATAAACAATCCACAATTAAATGTTATTTAGATTAATTCTAATCTCGTCCTCAAAGTTGAGTTTTTCTGACAAATCCAGAAAATCAACTAGTCAATGGTTTTCATATACATTTGACATATATGAAATACAGTATATATATATTTCAACTCTGCCTAGTTATAATCCATCTGAGCTCTGAGCGTCCTGATCACAGTGACTGTATAAATGTATCATAATGTAAAAAATATGAAGTGATTTTTTAATGTAATCTAGTAGGAAAATGAACAGATGGGCGGCAGCAGCTCAGCCACGATGTCCTTTTCCATCACATGTCTGTTGGTGAGCAGGTGAAGAACAACGTGTTGGAAAAGCACAGATTTAATAAAAGCACTGACTAAAAGAAATGGAACAAAAAAGACTGGTGAAAGTGGACAGAGTCAGATCCAAGTCTTTGAAATTAAAACAATTCTATTTAACAGCAGTCACATAGGGGTTAAAGGTCACCTTGAGAAAAAAAAAATCTAAAAGCAGCTAAAATAAAAGATTAAATAAAAGACCAGGAAATGTTTTTCCTTAACAGATATTTCACAAGGTAAAAAAAAAAAAAAAAAAAAAAGTTAAAATTATTTTTTGACCTAGAGTTTGGACCTGGAGGTGGTAATAAAGATCATTTAAAAAAAAAAAACATGTACATTTTATAACACAGCTGTATATTAGATGTGTTTTTGTGCGTTCTGGGGGTCGTTCTGTAAGAAAAACGCTTTAACTCCGATTAATTATTCCTCTTCCTATTATTAATTATCCTTAAATTAATTTTGATATGAGACTGAGAATCATTGAAAAATGCAATAAGTGATATCTTTTTTATGCCTATTATTAATATTAACATTGTTATTATTTTAAATAACAATAATGATAATCTGGAACGACCTTCAGTCTCTGCTGTGAAATTTCATTATTTCATAAATTCTCCCACTGCTGTCACGGATGTCGTCTCTCGGCTCACTCTCCTTCTTCTGGTTCTGGGACAAAGTGTTGTGAGAGTCTAAAAATGTTTCTTTTCACCGAGCTGTCAGCGCCGTGATAATGAGAAACTGCTGTCACTGAGCACAAACTTCTCCAGATTACTGACAGCTGTCAAGAAACGCAGCGATTTAACACCTATCTGAACTGGTGTGTTTCACTGACAGCAGCTCCCACTGAAGCTTAGCAGTGTTTTAGTTGGAAATGCTAAAAAAATCATCAAATATGCATTAGTCACCATGAAAGCCCTCATTAACCTGTCAGGGAAAATGACTGCTGAATGTCATATTTTGAAGTGAATATGTTTTTTTGCGCTAACCACTCCGAGCACTCACAGCCAATTAGACTTAAGAAAAAAAAATAAAAGAAATCCGATGAGTTTGATTTCATAAATCAGTCCAAAACATTTCTCATATATTTTTTTTGTCTTTCACGTTTATCCTCAAACCCTCCTCCACCTCAGAAGGTATGTTTTAATATAAGGTGTCATCACTGATTGTGTGAAATTCCACCATAATTATTTTTTGTACCGGGTCGTTCGTAGACGCTCTGTTACTCATTTATCTGCGTCTACGGCGAGCTCCGCCAGCTGACACGCCGTCTGAAAACGACAAACCGGCTCCTGGCGATTATCTGCAGGATGAGATTTCATCAGGCAAAAAACTTTGAATGAATAAAAAAGCATCAGTAAGTATTGTCTGAGTGAGTGAGTCAGTGGGAGGGAGTCATTTCATCCTCACTTCAAACTGCTGGTTTGAAGTGTTCAGTAGGTTTTTTTGCAGATTATTTCTGCAGAGGATATTTTTGGCTTTCTCTAATGTTGTGAACGCAGAGACCAGAGTAAATCTGGTGATGGCTGTCACAGAGGGGGAGAGAGAGAGAGGGAGAGAGGGAGAGAGAGAGAGGCTCACAGAACTCCCTGCAGGCAGGCAGTGTGTGTGAGATCTGGGGCCCCGGGGCCCTTTTGGATGTCTCACACTGAATGGGTGCCCTGGTGAGGTGACCGAGCTCATTGAGGACAGGTTAGGAGGGGAAGGGAATGCTTTTGCTCTGCGTTTGGCCCCCTGACCCACTGTCCAACGTCTGTCTTGGCAGCTTTGAAACCCAACATATTTATTTGCAATGCGGTGAAGGGAGAGGGCGGAGCAGCTGTCAGAATAAAGTCATCGTCCTGCTGACAGCTTCATCTGCTCTTGAAGGGCAGCTATGACAGACGCACAATGTCGCTGTGTCAGGCAGCCCAGGGCCAAAGACTGTCATATGTGGACATGCTGGAAATCCAGCAGCCGCCTCCCCTCGCTCCGTCTCTCTCTCTCTCTCTCTCTCTATTTTCTCAAGCCCTCTTGAATTATTTCTTTGCCCCACTTAGAAATGTTTTTCATCTCTGTGTACCAGGATGTCAGCAGGGTAACATGAGGGAATTCTTTTGTTGTTTTCACCAAACTGCAGACAAACCACCAGGCAGGGACGCTGTGTGTGATTTCTTTTCTTTTTTTCTTTTTTTTCTCCCTCTTTCTCGAAGCATTACGACACGTTTCATCCTAAAATACATATCTGTCACAGGCAGTGTTTTTTCTTTTTTTAAATATTTCTTCAGTGCGAGACACTTATATCAAATATTAAAATTAAATTACAGCAGATTCTTAATGATCTGTGTAGTTTGTGAAGAAAGGGAATTAAAACCACAGCTTTGGGTTTGACAGCTCAATAAAACACTGGGCAAAAAAAAAAAAATTATAAAAGAAGAAATAATAAGAGCTGAGACGAGCTTTGGATGTAATAATGCAATAATAATAATAATAAGTAGCTGTTTTCTATGATTTGAACATATCAGAAATATAAAATGACAATGTGGCAAATGACGATTAAACACAGTATAACTGACAAAATAAAATAGTTAACATGAGTTTCTAGTAACCATTTCAGTTACTATTTACTTATTTATATAGATTCACATACGACACTGTAGCATTTTAACCTCATTTCAATTTCTCTCAATGATGTTTTCATCGACTATAAACAAACCAATACAGTTTTTTTTAATTAATTTATTTTAGTGTAAATATTCAATGATATTTAATTGCTGGCGTGTGTCTTGGCAACGTGAATCAAAGCTACAAATTTAACATTCAAAGCAGCATCAAACAAGTTCTCATAATCCTTATTAAGCCTCGGAGTGCCATGTGACCTCCTTCGTATTTTCTCTCAAGGCTGTGATCAGATCTCGTCTTTACCCACTGACCCAGCAATAAAGGCTTTTTTTCCATTTAAACTGAAGGACGCAGCCTCCCTCCCAGTGATGCTGCTGCTGCTTCTCTAGTCACAGGCAGAAAAGCATCGTCTTTAGCTGCAGTTCTATCAGATTTATCACGTACTGAAAATCAGCTCATTTAAGCAAAAAAAAAAAAAAAAAGTAGGATTTTACAGCAATATGAATTATTATTATTAATATTAATATTATTATTATAACTACTTTGTGCTTGTTGTTGTTATTGACAGGTAATTCCATTAGCAGTGATTAAGGCTGTGAAGCAGCAGCTGACGTGCTCATACACACACACTCTCTCACACACACTCACACACACACAGACATTCCCTTCCCACAGCATCCTTTCACTCCACTAAGTGATTGTATGTGAGCTGTGCCAGGATGCTGATGGGCCTCCTGCAGCCTCAGTGCAGCTCTGACAAAGAGCAGAGAGGGAGCAGGAGGAGGCGGGATCAAAGCTGGACCGCTGCCCGTGTATGAGGTGTGATCCGTGCCACAGCCCAGCAGGACCGCAGCCAGTGTAGGAAGCACTCAGGCTGGAATTAGCACTGCATTTGACACATGATGTCTGCACCGCCATGGGCATGATCAAAGAGGGAAAATATAATCCAAAAGTAGCGGTGAACGCTCTGGGATTATCCACCTCACTTTCAAAAGTTTGATTTTTTATTTGGTAAATATTTATCCCTGACTCGATTATTGCAAGTTTTTTTTTTAAAATTTGCTGTAAACATCAACAAAGTTTACAAAACTAAGACAAATTAAAGACACGTCGATGCCTTGTTTATCGTGACATGGTCATGCTAACGTGGCTAACGTGGCTAATGTGGCTAACTGCACACGTTGTCTGGTCTTTGGCAACAGACACACTGTTCTTTTCATCGCCAAAAAACACTTGGTTTCAGCTCGTGTGTGGTCTCTCAGTGAATGAACTAACCGACAGTTTTCTCCTTTGTCTTAAACAACAGCTCCAGACTCACAGTTAAAGATTTATTTCTATCATTTTTTAAATTTACCTTTAGTCTGAAAAAGCTCTAAAAACAACACAAATGTCACGTGTTAAACCAAACAGGAAGTCAGCTGCAAACGTAACATTTCAACGAGGCCTATGTTTTAAAACGTTACTGCGTGTATTAAACCAATAAGGCACAAATATCCTCACACCCCCGCCCGCTCCACACACACACACACACACACACACTCGGCGCCTGAGTCACATCAGGCAGTGTGATTGACATGGTTGGACTGACGTGAAGCAGAAACATTGAAACTTCAGTTACGATCTTTAACCAGACATCAGTGACGAGACTGCTGACATCGTCATGATGACTTTCTGTTTTCGCAGCTCTACGACTGTGCAGCGATCAGCGAGACCGAGGAGACGGCGCGGGAGGAAATGGCCCCGAGTGTTGGGCTCACTGATAGGTGTAGAGGTAAAATAAGGAACAGCGACGGTAGCAGCATCAGCCTGTGAAGGTCTGTGTCGAA